ATAATGGAACGCTTATGCTCGGATGTGCAATTCCCTGGCTGTCTACAAACCTATATAAACCTTCGTACAGTTGTTACATTTTATTTTGTATACACAGTTCCTAGTCCTGTCAACCGGAAACCGATTCTTCGAGTTCACCAACAACGTGCGTAAAGTCTTTCCCTTCTGGAATGCTACTTTGATGTTGGCCGTAATCAGTAGCCTTTTAATGACTTCAGATGTCCCTGTTTAGTATGGAATGACCGCTGTTCAACAACCTTGTGAGAATCTTCCTTTAAGAAAATATACTGCGATATCTCGAATATCGTGCCAACTGGAACATGAAACGGCCTGGTTGCAGCACGTTCGTTTGAAGAAATATCATATCAGTTGAGTTTCTCGTGAAAACCAAATTTATTTTCAATAGAGTGTATTTCTCGAAAACAGTCCAATTCTGGTTCAAGTAGAACTTATGGTTGACGAAACCTCGGGGATTTCGACTACCTGGTAAGCCTGAGAAGGACGAAACACGTCGTGGGCTGTCGAAGTGTTTTCAGCAACCTCGTGATTAAGTCGCTTTTCTAACCCAAGTTGTTCTGCTCTTCGATCTTGCTCCTCTGTACACTGTGCTCTCACTCTCCTATACATCGTTGAATCTATACTAGCATATACTGCTTCTGGATGTGCTGAGTATTAGTTTAAGACCGCGAGACGGCCCGACTGGTTAGAACGCGAATTTACTGACCGGAAGATCTGTGGTTCAAACCCGACCTCCGCCTCTCGACTTCCCCTGCCTAGGCTTGGGCAACCTGGCAGTATCCCAGCCCTCGTGCAACCTTCGGCTGGCATGGCAGTTAGGCATCGAAAAGGCTCTACAAACTAACGATATTTTGTTGAGTTCTGGTGAACATTGGTTATTAATTTCCTCGATTCTTATGTCTCATTTAGTCAAGGTAATTAGTGTACCCAAAGGGGACTCCGGCGTCATGCTGAACTTATTGTGAACCCTCACATTAAGTTCAACATGACACTAGAGTGTTCAGATGTTGAAAGGATTCGCTTACCTGATCCCGCTTCGTTACATCTGCGTAGCGCACGAAAAACCCTGATGAACGCTCGAATTCGACTGAATCTTCCTGCTCAATGCGTCCCATGTACATGTTTGCCAAAATCGTGGATATTGGTGATCCCATCACTAAACCCTGTTCTCGAGAATATATGTTTGATTAGTGTGGTTCTGTAGGGTTGGTTTTCGAGGAACTGACTTCGCCACAGCTCCCACATGTTGGAAAAGGTCTCATTAATAAGGAACACAACGAACAAGAAGCATTGTGTACCCCTGAATTGAATTGAATTCAGACTTTCGGATCAGCGTTGGTTGGTCACTAATTATCGTAGGTTTTGCTTGTTGACTGTCTCAGCATCCAACCGGCAACCGGATCTTTCTGGCTTTCACGGTGTTTTCCCGAAAGCGGTCTTTGAGTCGTTTGAAAGCCTCAGAAGGTTTAGGGCATTTGCAAATAGATTTGAGGAATCCGGTCATCGTTACACCGGATTTCTCGAGTGTTCACTCCATCTGAATGTGAGTGAGTTGAGTGGGTCAATCATATTGAAAATAAAGAGTATGTATTCTTCAGAACTCTTAAGCATACCCGCAGGACATTTGTCGCAGTCATCGATCTAGAATTGTCATTCCGCTGTAAGCATGCAGGCAACCAGCAGCAGCACCAGGGGTGGCCGAAGAGTCAGTGGATTCGTCCTGGTTGTTGACAAGTTCGCGTTTTGCACGAATCCGTGAAAATCAAATTGTTATTGAAAACACATCGATTCAATTCGCTTCCAGACGCCCACAAACCAAACAGGCTTCCGCGTTCAGATGAGCCTTCCGAATTCTAAAGTGTATTTTCATCAATACAAAAACTACCATTAGAGCATCATTACTAATTTCAGCTTATATGGTTTGTAAGAGTCGATCATCACTTCCTGATCAAAACAGTATAAAAGAAAATCTCGCTACGCACTCACCTAGATCACCCAGAAGTGTCACGAACTCGACGTTTTACGCATTGAGTAAATATCAAACATTTGAGAGTCCAATCAGTTTGTCAAGACCTATCTTGACCCACTGCAAAAACAAATTTGCCGAATACACATTTCCACTGTGACGTTTTAATACAAAAACCGTATTGTTGTCGCCCCTAGATCATAGTTTTCAGAAGCCAGCCGCCACGTGAAACCAGCTTGCAGATTCAGTTTGCTACGCACTACTGTCTGAAGCGCACAGGCGCTCAACGAAATGATCCACATTTGTCCTAGAAAAGACCGAAAATCACCAACGTGCACGTATTGTTGAAAAAGGTTTGAGCAAATGATCAGCCATTGAACAAGCTGATCAAAATGGTTGATCATACCCCGATCGGCATAAGCTTTGTACCGCAGACCTATTAGATTTGTGGTGGATAGTTTTTCACACCATAGTCATACATTTGTAAGGCAAAGTTCAACTCACAGGAGACGCACAGTATAAAATGCCAGGCACATGAAGCTTCAAGTAAGCCGGGATATGATGCGTCGTTGTTCGCTTCTTCTCGCGTTCCTGTTCTGCATCGACCACGTTGCATGTTTGGACGGTGTCAGTATCCACAATTGGTCAACCCTATTTAACAACCAGCCGTCAAAGAACTGGGTTGTCCTGGTCGCTGGTTCCAACACCTGGGAAAATTATCGACATCAAGTAGGTTTCCATTGCTCTTTTATTGGTTTGAGGCTCACAAGTTCACCAAAATCCCGCAAGAAAGGGTTTTCAAAGTGTAAGTTTGCATTAATGGTTCCCCAAACAGTTTTGTCCTACCTCGTTCTCTCCGTGACTATGATATTTCAATCTAAAAGGCGGCAAACAGAAGCCACAACTAGTGAGCGCACAGTTCGTTGCTAGTACTGTCGTAAAACGACATTTTGTTCTGGGTGGCGTCGATTCTTCCGTCCTATCAAACTCAGATGTTGCGGAGGTGCGTAGTGTGATTCACGTTAATCGGAATCCGACATCGTCACCCATAAGTGATTTATGGTGCGTTATGTTAGGTGAACTGACGGCCTGCGAGTGGAAGGTATGGTGTTGTATCAAACAGGAATTCGATGGTTTTCAAGCCACCAATAATCACCTGACCTGACATTGTAGCTTCATCCTATCAGAGGAAGTCTCACGGGCCCCGAAGGACCGTAGCCTAGAGTGACCTGCTATATAAACCAGGTATCAGAAATCCCAACTAAAACGACTGGCGTACCAAAAACATTGACTGTCACGGCGAGAGCACCGCAATCGCTAAGCAATGTGAGCGGATAAATCTATACAACTTGGTGAGATCAAGTATTTGGAATAAACATATAAAAATCTATCTTGGTCAAATTCGTTCGTCCAACTTAGTTTTGAAGCCAAGGGGAACCAAGTTTGTACAGCTTCGGTGAGGAGGTGGTTTTTCGGACAATTGAATGAATGGGGCTGCTTGGTCCACACAAGCCCTTCCATAGTCGAATCATGCTTCCTGTTCTTGGGATAATGCATCCGAATGCTGTTTGAAGAACTGATACTCCACCAAATATGGATTATCTTCGACACTCTGCTTAACTCATTTTGACTTCATGCCCCACTCTGCCTCAATTCACCCTTAATTCCCTGTCCTTGTGTTCCAATTCAGGCGCACGTTTACCACGCGCATTACTTGTTTCGTGGAAATTATTTTCCACCGGAGAATATAATTACATTCGCCTACGACGATATTGCAAACAATCCCAAGTAAACGTCGCGTACAATTTTCGCAATATGATAACAAATAGAGTGTAGAAATGCGCTTCGTTGTTCGGCTTTAACACGTTTCACTGTTTTGCTGTCATATCGGATTTCTTTGGTTGATGCGTCTCCATGAATGTAGACGCCACACAACCCTGATGCAAGAAGCACATGTTGATGATATTCATGACGACAACGATATTGATAATGGTATTTAATAGTTTGAGTGCTCGCTTGATTAGACAGAAATAAATCACATTGATATCTAGATGTCGTTTTAATGTTGCTCCTTCTGCCGATGACGATGATCACGATGAAGATGATGATGATGATGATGATGAGGATGAAGATCAGGATGATGGTGAGGATGATGATGATGACGATTCGGATGATGATCAGAATGATGATCACGATGATGATGCTGATGATCAGGATGATGATGATCAGAATGGTGATGATCAGAATGATGATCATCAGGAAAATGATGATGATGAGGATGGTGATGATGAGAATGATATGTCCCCGTTTTATTTGTCAGTAAACTAAACGAAATCACATTGCTATCTAGATGCTTTAGTACATCAAACGGCTATTGATGTGAAGCAAATAGTAAGCAGACAATCTAGTAAGCTAAACATTTTGAAATGCAGCCGAAGTGGAGAAAAAACTCCGAATTTGAAGTTACAGAAACGCATTACATTTTCACACCAAATTTGTAATTTTCTTTGTTGTGCACTCTACCGGTATAATTGGAGGATACCTAAATTATCTCTGCGTAAAGGATTATTCGTCACACCCAATCCAATGTGTGACAGAAGTTGCACGCATTGTCGTGAATATTCATTCGAAAAGAAGCACAAGACCCAACTTCCAGCGGCATTTGTGAACCTATCATTTCTTTCTATTCGACCAACATGTTAAAATCTCAACAGAGCCACTGCCAGTTTTCATTCTCTTATTCCAGAAATTCGTTTAGAGGCCAAGCGTTCAATGACTACAATCACCCCAGAGATCTACAAAGATGTGGTAATTGACCACCGTGGAAAAGTAAGCCCGTGTTCCGGTGCGCAGCAATCAAGTGAATTCCTGCATCAGTTCACCGTGTAATACAAGACGTAATTAAATGACACTGCGGAGCAAAACACAATACAAACCGCAGAGCAGATCAATCTATTTTACTATATTACAGGATGGTCAATCCACTTTAACGAACACCAGTCATAAGGTCACAAAGAACTCTCAGACAGCCCCTGAGGGAGCACAACCTTCCGCTATTGGTCTCTCCAGTAGGCTAGCGTGGTTGTCAAAAGAACCATGGAAAGTGCACGAGGACCAATATTGCCCGAATAGCTTTCTCCGCGGAAATATCAGTGATAACCCGGGCCAGCACAGTCAGCTAAAGAATACCATAAATAAGAGTTGCTCAACTATGATTCAGTTGAGTGCTGATGAATGATACTCGCTTCAAGATAGCGGATATTTCTCACGAATGTTGCATTCCTATCTAACTGTGGTAGAGGTGGGGGCTACTTTGTAGTGCTACCTAGTAGTCCATGTACAACTAAACTACTGACACCAGACTCGGGCAGCTAATCCAGATGCCATGCTTGACAAATAGACCAAAAATCAAATTGTTCATTTTTCAGCACACAGCGACCATCGTGAAAATAATATCGGTGAAGCTGGGGGACAGATCTTAGATACCAATTATTTGTTAGATTGCAAATGGATGGTTACTGTGAATAGACTAAGTGTGAAGAACACCATTGTCACAGGAATAATTGGTCATGCATTTTTATCCGTTTTAGGATGTCACACGGGATAACTTCGTGAAAGTGCTGAAAGGCAATAACACACCTGAGGCCAACAAGAAGCTGATGAAAAGGTAAGCTTGAGCGGAAGGTTCGCCTCGCCTTTGTTATAATCTTTTCCCTCAGTAGTGAATGCTTTATGTAGATACTTTAGGTAACACATGTAACCATGCTAACAAAAGCTTGATTCTGAGCGAGCTGAATGTGACTATTCCAACGAAAAGATGATAAGACTAGCTAAAGTGGAAAACTGCTTCCAACGACTTTCATGCATTCAAAACCATAAGTGCTACTTCATCCCGTGATACAAGTATTAACCAACAGACGTGTGAAGAATCGACGTTCCATTCCCGTATTTATGGGGCCATACAAGTAACAGACAAGTGGAAGTTAATTTAAATAATAAGTATATCCAGCAGCGTGTACAAAACAATATTCCGAACTACGTGTTCGCTATGCTTCTAATTGCCGCTGGTTTTTGTTGTGCTTTTCTATGCGCGACAGCGCCACCCAATGAGCTACTCTTCAAGACCACCTCAACCTTTCTTCCTACTAACAGCGGTCCCGATGACAATGTGTTCATCTTCTTCTCTGGCCTTGGTACGACTTCCTATATTGCCTTCCTAGGAGGATATGTAAGTTAATTTAATTTTAACACGCAGTTTGTTAATCGGAAGCTAAATAATGGACGAATTGAAAAGACTTACGTAAACATTTTGGCGCAATGATATGGGTAGTTCTTTCTAAAAAGGAGTTCATAGTTATGCTGTTCTACACATCAACCGAAATATGGAACACAAGCTACGATGTGCGTACGTCACTCTCAAGATTGATATCCCCAGGAATTCATGTTTGTTAGGTGCTTTAAATGACAACCTCACGCAGATTATATTTTACGAAATTTAGGGTCGCTCGACTCACATGATTTGCGGTTGATCCACTCAGAATGCTGAACAAACGTAAACGCCATTAACAAAGAAGCTGGTCATAAACGATCACTAGTGAGGCGTGGATGATCCGAAGAACGCGTCAGTCGAATTATTTCTCACTAGGCAACATACTGAATCTCACTTCTAGAGCGAAAGCACTAATGTCAATTAGTATGAAGATTTGCGTTTGTGTATGAGGAACCAGTCTGTGATGGAAAGCCGAGAAGCAATGTAGAACTGTTGCATCATTATTGGAAATCATCAGTGTTGACCTTGATGGATGCAACGTGTAACCGTTCGGCCACGAGCGACCAATTAACAGCCTGATTTATCCGCACTAAGTCGGGACAAACGTCGCTCATTCTTCAACCAATGAATCCAAATCACTGGGGGCTGATTCGTCGAGTGACTCGTCTGGAGCTCACGAGAATTCTTCTTCTTGTCTTGTGACAGCTGTATGCCATGGAGTTGAACGATACCCCTCGGTGAAAAGCTTTGCGTGACTTCGGTGTCACTCACTTAGGTCAACCAGAAGTGTCTGGAAACCGACGATTTACGCAGTAAGTAAATACCAAGCCTTTCAGAAGTTTACATTCTGAGTCCAATCAGTTTGGCAAGCCTTATCTTGAAAACTTAAATGTGCCGAATACACAGTTCCACTATGACCTTTTAGTATTAAACATTGTTTCAATGTCCCCATGGATCAAAGTTTTCAGTAAAGCTACTCATAATCCAGCCGCTAGGTGAAACCAGTTTGCAGACTCAGTTAGCTGCTCAGTACTCTCTGAAGCACACATCCGCTTAATCAAATGATCCACATTTGTGTTGGAAAACACCACAAATCATCAATATGCATAGATTGTTGAAAAAAACTTTGACCAATGTATCATCCATTGAACAAGCTGATCAAGATGGTTGACCGTACCCGATTAGCACACACATTGTACCGCATACGTGTTAGATAATTGGTGGATATTTTTTTCACACCATCCTCGTACATTTGTTAGGCAAAGTTCAAATGACAGGAAACGCACAGTATAAAATGCCAGGCACAAGGAGCTTCAAGTAAGCCGGGATATCATGCGTCGTTGTTCGATTCTTGTCACGTTCCTGTTCTGCATTGATCACGTTGCATTTTTGGACGGCGTCAGTGTCCACAATTGGTCATCCATATTTAACAACCAGCCGTCAAAGAACTGGGTTTTCCTGGTCGCTGGTACCAACACCTGGGAAAATTATCGACATCAGGTAGGTTTCCGTTGGTTTTTACGGGTTTAAGTCTCAAATGATCACCTATATCCTTCAGGAAAGGGTTTTCTTGTCGGCAAACGATATTATGTTTTGGGTGGAGTCGATTCTCCGGTTCTAATAATTTCAGATTTTACGGAGGTGCATACTGCGATTCACGTTGGATAGGTGGTAGCTTGGATGGATTTAGCTTCATCATATTAGAGGAACCCCCACGGGCCCAGAAGTCCCGTAGCATACTGTGACCTGCTGTATAAACCTGGTATCAGAAAACTCAGCAAAAACTACTGACGTACCAACAACATTGGCTGTCATGGCCACGCTAGACAATGTGAGCGGATAAATCTATAGTACTTGGTGAGATCAAGTATTTGTAATATACATATCTAAACAAATCTATGTTGGTCAAATTCGTTCGTCCGCTCGTCTACAACTTGCATGGGGTTTTACGAGAATCGTATTTGAAAATGTTACACAAAATCAATGCGTGTGTATCCATTCCTAAGATCCAGTGGGGTAATAATTTACTGCCACTGAGTTTTGCCACAATGTGACTATTTATATAGCACACACGCGAACGCCAGATTCGGACGTATTTTCTAAGCCAAACGATACCAATATTGTACAGCTTCAGTGAGGAGGTCGTTGTTCGGACGCCTGACTGAACTGGGCACTTTGTTCCACTCCAACCCTAACAGAATAGAATCCTGCTTCCCGTTCTTGGGATAATGCTTCCGAATGCTGTTTGAAGAACTGATACTCTACCAGGTATGGATTATCTTACACACTTTTCTGAACACCTATAGGCTCCATGCACCACTCTGCCTGTTGTCGTAAATTCACGTGTTATTTGTGTTCTGATTCAGGCGGACGTTTTTCACGCGTATCAGGTCGTGCGTAAAAACAATGTTCCACCGGAAAATATAATTACCTTCGCCTACGACGATATTGCAAACAATCCCAGGTAAACATTGCGTACAATTTTCGCTATTTGTTGAAAAGTAAAGTCTAGAAGCGCGCAATGTTGTCTGGATTTAACACGTCTTGTGGTTTTGCCGTCATAGCAGATTTCCTTTGGTTGATGCGTTTTCATGACCGTAGACGCCATAGAACCCTGATGCAACCAGCACATGTTGATGGTATTCATTTTAACGACGATGTTGATAATGATATGTAATATTTGAGCGCTCGTTTGCGTAGTTTAAAATGAATCACATTGATCCCTAGATTACGATTTAGTTATATTGATGCTGCTGCTGCTGATGATGATGATATTGATGATCAGGATGATTACGACGATTCGAATGATCATCAGGATGATGATAATGATGGTGGTGATGATCAGGATGATGGTGAGTATACTGATGAGGATCATGATGATGAGGATGATCAGGATGGTTCCGATAATCCTGATGACGATGAGGATGATGATGATGATCAGGTTGATGATCATCAGGATGATGATGGTGATGATGATGATGATGGTGATGATCAGGATGATGATGCTGATGATGATGAGAATGATATGGCCTCGCTTTATTTGTAAGTAAACTGAACGTAATCACATTGCTATCTAGATGTTTTAGCACATCAAACGGCTATTGATGTGGAACAAATAGTGAGCCGACAATCTAGAAAGCTAAACATTTTCTAAAGCGGCCAAAGTGGAGGAAAATCTCTGAATGTGAAGTTACCGAAACGGATTACATTTTCATAACAAATTTGTAATTTTCTCTGTCGTGCACTCTACGGGGATCATTGGAGGTTACCTAAATTATTTCTGCTTAAAGAATTATTAGTCACACCCAATCGAAAGTGTGACAGAGGTTGCACGCATTTTCGGGAAAATGTATTCGAAAAGAAGCACGGCAACCAAATTTCAGCAGCATTTATGAACCTTACATTTCTTCTTTTCCGACCTACATGTTAAGTTCTCTCAAAAGACCCACTGCCAGTTTTCATTCTTTAATTCCAGAAATCCGTTTAAAGGCCAAGTGTTCAATGACTACAATCACCTAGATGTCTACAGGGATGTGGTAATTGACTACCGTGGAAAAGTAAGCCCGTGTTCCGGTGCGAAGCAATCAAGTAAATTCCCGCATCAGTTCACCGTGTAACACAAGACGCAATTAAAATGAGACTGCGGATCAAAACAGAATAAAACCACAGGGCAGATTAATCAGTTTTACTATATTAAAGAATGGTCAATCCACTTGAACGAACACTAGCCATAAGGTAATAGAGAACGCTGGGGCAGCGCATGACCGAGTTCAACTTTCTGCTTTCGGATTCTCCGGTAGGCTAGCGTTGTTATCAAAAGAACCATGAAAAGTACACGAGGATCAACAGTGCCCGACTGGCTTTCTCCGAGGAAATATCCTGTGATATCCCGGGCCAGTACATTCAGCCAAAGACTATCATAAATAAGAGATGCTCCACCGTGATTCTGTTGACTGCTGATGGATGATACTCACTTAACATAGCGGCTATTTCTCACGTATGTGTATGTTGCATTCCTTAGCCACTGAGGTAGAGATGAGGGCTACTTGATAGGGCTTCCTCGTAGTCCATGATCAACTGAAATACTAACACTAGGCCCGAGGAGCATATCCAGATGCTATGTTTGGCAAACAGACCAACAATCGAATTGTTCAGTTTTCAGCATACAGCGACCATCGTGGAAATAATATGAGTGAAGCTGGAGGACAGACCGTAGATATCAATTACTTGTTAGATTGCAAATGGATGGTTACCCTGAATATACTGAATGTGAAGAACACTATTGCCACAGGAATAATTGGTCATGCACTTTCATCCGTTTTAGGATGTCACACGGGATAACTTCGTGAAAGTGCTGAAAGGCAATAACACACCTGAGGCCAACAAGAAGCTGATGAAAAGGTAAGCTTGAGCGGAAGGTTCGCCTCGCCTTTGTTATAATCTTTTCCCTCAGTAGTGAATGCTTTATGTAGATACTTTAGGTAACACATGTAACCATGCTAACAAAAGCTTGATTCTGAGCGAGCTGAATGTGACTATTCCAACGAAAAGATGATAAGACTAGCTAAAGTGGAAAACTGCTTCCAACGACTTTCATGCATTCAAAACCATAAGTGCTACTTCATCCCGTGATACAAGTATTAACCAACAGACGTGTGAAGAATTGACGTTCCATTCCCGTATTTATGGGGCCATACAAGTAACAGACAAGTGGAAGTTAATTTAAATAATAAGTATATCCAGCAGCGTGTACAAAACAATATTCCGAACTACGTGTTCGCTATGCTTCTAATTGCCGCTGGTTTTTGTTGTGCTTTTCTATGCGCGACAGCGCCACCCAATGAGCTACTCTTCAAGACCACCTCAACCTTTCTTCCTACTAACAGCGGTCCCGATGACAATGTGTTCATCTTCTTCTCTGGCCTTGGTACGACTTCCTATATTGCCTTCCTAGGAGGATATGTAAGTTAATTTAATTTTAACACGCAGTTTGTTAATCGGAAGCTAAATAATGGACGAATTGAAAAGACTTACGTAAACATTTTGGCGCAATGATATGGGTAGTTCTTTCTAAAAAGGAGTTCATAGTTATGCTGTTCTACACATCAACCGAAATATGGAACACAAGCTACGATGTGCGTACGTCACTCTCAAGATTGATATCCCCAGGAATTCATGTTTGTTAGGTGCTTTAAATGACAACCTCACGCAGATTATATTTTACGAAATTTAGGGTCGCTCGACTCACATGATTTGCGGTTGATCCACTCAGAATGCTGAACAAACGTAAACACCATTAACAAAGAAGCTGGTCATAAACGATCACTAGTGAGGCGTGGATGATCCGAAGAACGCGTCAGTCGAATTATTTCTCACTAGGCAACATACTGAATCTCACTTCTAGAGCGAAAGCACTAATGTCAATTAGTATGAAGATTTGCGTTTGTGTATGAGGAACCAGTCTGTGATGGAAAGCCGAGAAGCAATGTAGAACTGTTGCATCATTATTGGAAATCATCAGTGTTGCCCTTGATGGATGCAACGTGTAACCGTTCGGCCACGAGCGACCAATTAACAGCCTGATTTATCCGCACTAAGTCGGGACAAACGTCGCTCATTCTTCAACCAATGAATCCAAATCACTGGGGGCTGATTCGTCGAGTGACTCGTCTGGAGCTCACGAGAATTTTTCTTCTTGTCTTGTGACAGCTGTATGCCATGGAGTTGCACGATGCCCTCGCCTACGTGCATTCAAAAAAAAAGTTCAACAAATTGGTGCTGTACGTGGAGGCTTGCAAATCTGGCTCCATGTTTAAAGATGTTCTTCCTTCAAATATGGGAATTAAGTAGCGTAAATTTCTTGCTGATTCTTGCACGGATCTTGTTAAGTAGCATTCAGAATATCAATAATGTATATGGCTCAAATGTGGCGTTGACCAGTAAAACATAACGAAGTTCCAAGCGTGGTTTATGCTTGGTCAGTTGGGGATCCTTGTATGGAAGTAGCCCATGACTCTACTCAAGAATCGTCTAGCCGATGATAGCACAAAATCCAGCCCACATCGATTAATGCCGCTTCCGCTGCTGAACCAGCTTTATATGAGTGGAGGAAATCATTGTGTAACCGGCACAACCCCTGTGAAATTTTGTTGTTCCGTTGCAGCAACCANCATCGATTAATGCCGCTTCCGGTGCTGAACCAGCTTTATATGAGTGGAGAAAATCATTGTGTAACCGGCACAACCCCTGTGAAATTTTGTTGTTCCGTTGCAGCAACCACCAGTGCCAAGTGGATGCCTTCATTGTAGATTATAAATGGATCGTGGGTCTTTTGTAAAAAGTACACCTCAACACATCAAACTGTCTTTCTAATTATTGTGACGTTCTCATCAGTGATTTTTAGAGTATAAACAGATTCTACATTCATCCGTTTATTTGATTCTGACTGCGTCTACCTGATTCTCCGCAAGAAGCTCGAAAACAATTATGTTCTGTCAACGAAATATCAGCGACTTTCTGAGTAGTTCTGGACGTCTTGCAGCTTCATTTTTCTGAGTCACACGATGCCTTCTTTGATAATTTACCTCACTATTTGACACATTTTTGGTATTGACCCATACTATCTGTTCTGTTGTCTGAACCTCTGAACATGGAGTCTACGTGACAACTTTAGCCAACGAAGATGAATATTCGTGCGCTATTTTTGGCAAGATGATCGATGTTTGTCTGGCGAACGAATACTCGTATGAATGGATTACAGATTCGGAACGAGTAAGTTTTAGCAAAAATGTCGCAGATAAGCCTGTCAGTTGTGTATTGGTAGTCCGGTAATATTCAGCAGCCAGATGTTGTCCAGTTGATTCTTATTTTTTTCAAATCAAGAAGAGGATTTATGGCAATTCAGCCACCACGGCCGACCTGTGGCCCCAAAATCATCAAACCATTGGTTGTATGTCCGAATTTTCTCACTATCCTCCCAATCACATTCGCCTCTGATCTTGTAGAGGAATATGAAACCGACTAACACAAGTTTGGGTGCTATCGGTGTAATTCGCCATCTACGATGGAGACCGCCTGATTTCCACCGTGATTAACGAAAGCCGCTGAAAATCATGTATTTGAATCGATGTTGCTGTAGTTTTTGTTATCATTCTCGATTCAATGCTCCTGAGTAATTGCCTGGAGCTGTAGGGGCATCTGAATGATTGTGGTAGGCCGGCACCAATAAATTCCCCATCCGTTTTGATTCTTTTCTTTTGAATGGGGCTTCAAATGGATTTTGAATGCACGTAGGGAAGCGTCAATGTTGAACACCGATGTTGACAGTGATGACGTTGGTGATGGTGATAACGATGCTGAGTATGATATTGATGATGGTTATGCTGGTGGCTCTCGTTAACGCCTTCGTCTCAATACATCTGTCGAAATGAACCAATATCTCAGTGCCGTTCAAGCTCTCATTTTCTATCCAGATTGTCTGACTGGGCCTCGATTTTATGGGAATCTCGCGTGCATGATGTAGGCTAGCCCTAGGTTTTCCTTCCTGTTCCATTATCCTTTCTTTCCTACTACAAATAATATATAATGCATGCACAGCAGTGAATGGTCAGTATTGTCCTCTGATTTTGCTCTGATGTTGACGATGATGATGACAATGATTCGCGTGCTGCTGATGATGATCCGGATTTTGGTGATGATTGTTCGGATGATGGTGATGATGATGACGATCATGGGGATCAGACGGTGTTGCATCTCCACGTATGGTGTCCAGGAACAGCGGGGTGCTCACTAATTTACCAGCAGTATGTGTCGTTCCATACCACGGTTGTCCCAATTCTAGTGGTGGTTTCACGGTATTGCCCACGCTGGATACACTTGAGGTTGCCTATGCTGATGTGTCTGCTTCACTCAGCTCCCATTTGTCATTATCTTTCACCCGCGCCCAGAACGACATAAAAAAGCGCACACTGAATGAACAATACACGGCGGTGAAAAGGAAGACGTTGTTAGGCCACGTGATGCAATACGGTGACAGGGTGAGTCATAAAACTCCACGGAGAGATTCAGTTGGGTCACTTGTTAAAAGTCAACCTGTTATGAATATCAGTCTATTTATCGAGATGAGAGTTGTATTTTGTTGCTTGTGAAAGGCGACGGTCACGGGTGAAAATACTTGATTGGGAACTTCAAGTTCCACAGAAGAATTTCAGTAAAGTTGTTGGTTCAATCTACTAGGTATTCAAGCCTAGCCAATGTCGCTTTCAGAATAACCAAGCATATAAACCGGGTGAGTTTATTGGCAGTTGATCAGGTGGCTGTTGTTCTGTTCGCCGAGCTTGGCCATTTGCTCGAAGCGTTTCGGAAACATAGGAGGAGACTTCATCAGTGCGCATTTGGGTGGGTAATTCTTCCTTGCCTCCGTGCGTTTATATAGCAGTCAAAGGCTATCTGTTATCTTCTCACGTGATTGGATATTTGGAGTGTAAAGAATTTAATGAAGCTATTGGTCCGATTGTGATCCTTGTTTCTTTGTGGTCTGTGTTCCTTTGTGTTGATTGGTCATCCCGATGGCTTCTAATTTTAGTAGCTTCTTCTCTCTGGCCTTGAGTCGCATCGCGTTTTGGTTTATATTTCTCGAGTTTGATCAGGTGCTTGTAGTTGTATTTGGCTTCCTGAGTGTTGTCCAGATGAAATTACTCGGGTATCCCTTTTTCTCAAACAATTTGTATAGGCGCTTTTTCTCTTTGATCTTGGATTCGGTTGCACTGCAACGTGTCTCGATCTGATTGCGAAATGCCCGGAAGCAGCCCTGTTTATGGCCATTTGGATGGTTGCTTTGGTAGCTGAGGATTTGGTCCGTATGTGTCGCCTATCTGTAGACCTCAGTTTGTAGATGTCCGTTCGGCATTCTAGTGACGATTTTGTCCAGGAACGCCAGTTCTCCTCCGAGAATACTTGCGAAAACACGTCCTTCCAAATAGCGTAACCTAACCACCACCAATCAACCATCCACAACCTTGGATATTAGCTAGACAGAATGGTCGACGAATGGTTAGACTCATGATTACAGACGCTCACAACCACATTAGAAAAAACGAGGGAATAGCTACCGAACATATGGAGGCCCACTTGAGAACTATAGGACCAGACATGATGAAGCAACTCGGCATGGCGGTAGAACGAAGAGTTTCATCCACTGTTAAATACAAGAAGGCTCATTCAGATGCCAAGTTCGCAGGGCTGATTAGGAACCACGAGTTTGAAGGTTATCACAATGGCGCCTGAATAAGGAATCTATCCAAAAGGCAGCTGACGGGGCTGAAGAAAACTTTCTCCACCAGAATACATGAACACATACTCGCCACGATCAATTCTCCCTCATCTCCGCAAAAAAGATCAAGAAGGACACGAATTCGACTAGAGCGGCGACCGCATACTGGCTCAGGCAAGAACAAAACGCGAACGCGAATTTATGGGAGCGTGGTACTCCAACGAACAAGCCATTAATAAAAAGCGTCGAAATTGATCCGATTTACCAGGCACTAAGCGGGAGAGAACTCCAGAATCACAGAAAGTCGAGCTGCAAAATCGACCATACGGGGAACTCATACGAGAAGCAAGAAAGAGTCGTTCAAACGGATATATCAGTTTGATTAGGGGAGGCGCCCAATCAAAGCAGAAAATCAACAGGCAGGTGCAGGGAAATTAACCGTCACGGTGGAGCAAACAGTGCGGTGCAAGCACGCAATGAGACTCGAGAACGGCAAACCACAACGCGATGAGGATCAAGACCAGAAAGAGGAAGCTACTAAAATTAGAAGCCCGATAACCAACCAAAACAAAGGAACAACTACCAAAACGCAACAAAATCACAAACGGACCAATAGTTTCACTAAGTTCGTTACAAGTGAAGTAGCCAAACATGCAGGCAGGGAAGATGCACCCACACAAATTCTCAGTCATGAAGTCTCCTCATAAGGTTACGAAAAGTTTGCAAGCCAATGGAAAAGCTCGGCGAACTAATCAAAAGCCATCTGATCAACGAACAATAGATGGATAGATAGATACATAGATAGATAGATAGACAGCGAAATCCCTGAAACGTTTAGTGTTGTTCTAAGTATTCGAAACTGATTACATAGATAATAGATAGACAGCGAAATCCCTGAAACGTTTAGTGTTGTTCTAAGTATTCGAAACTGATGTGCAGCAGGATGAATCTCGTCAGTAACTCGCGTTACCATGGCAACCTGGTGATTTTGTGTAATTTCTTATCAACAGCGAGTAGTCTTCGATGTCGATTCTGCCAACCGTCATTGATTGAGGTCCTGCTAACAATAAGCGTAATTCAGTTGTTCTTGGTTCCAACCGAATGCTGTAGAAAGAAAGCCTCCTTGCCAGGCGCATTTGTTATCAAAGTCTCGACGCTTGATGGAGGCCGAAGTCGAGGAGTAACATGAAGTCGCTTGGCGAAGGCTACAACGTGCACTTAAGGTTCGTGTTTTCTTTTTCTTCTCCATTTCATCTCAATAAAGAAACTGAATGCCCGATGTAAGATCATCTTAGGTATGAGTCTGTTTGTGTGGTGGGGAATAGTTATCGGGGATGCATAGGAGCAGGTAAATGTCATCAGTCGAATATTTTAGCGGCCGTGTCTTAACGTGCGAGAAAAAGTTTTGGTGTATCTATAATGTTCCACAAGTATTCTTCTCGCTTCTATCAGCTTGGCCACATCGTCAAGGAAACGATTCGCGACATCGTCATGGATGTGACAACCCACCATAAGCCAACAATAAAGGGTTTATCCAAGAGGGATGAGCTCATGTGTTTCCGGGCTGTATTCGATCAATTCAGGACGCACTGCTTCACAATTCAGCAGGCAAGTTGCCCTCGTGATGCATTCATTAATAGCCAATGCATTCATCCAGGACCTCACGTAAGGCGAGCCTCAGTCTCAAAACTACTCTTAGTTAAAGTCCAGCAAATTAATTTTCGGGGCAGATGTTGAACTCACACCACTAGCACATTCGTTTTTTTCTGAAATTAAACGTTCATGCCGCCATCCGTCCGTGTGTTCAAAGCTGCTAAGGAATATTGTGAAACATGATCTTGTCAGCAAATCTGGCTACAATCGTTAGTTTCGTTAGTCAAAATCGCACAATTTTGAGGAAAATTTGCCGAACCAATGGACGGCCAAGCTGCATAAAGCTGGAACAATTTGTGCACTTGGGTAGGTTCATATGAATATCTCCGGTTTACTTTGTGTGTGTATCGTGGTTTCATTGTTTTGATAACCTCTGGTGATTGTGTATGCGCTGGTATAAATGTCGCATTTTCAGTCAACGAGAGCAGCCCTTTTTTACAAAACTCCTTTGATTCTACCTGCAAGTAGTTTCCTTGAATTGCGACGGATATCCGGCTATTGCGCCTTGAAGCCTACTATGGTTCGACACTCTGAACTACCGGTATTCTTCTCCTCTATAATTTTTCCTTAAAGGAGAAATTCCGCAATACTGTCACTGTCTGAATTAGAATTGTACCCTGATAGTTCCCGTACGGATGATAAACTCATATACCTTTGGTGCATTATCAGCAAATCATGTTGCCTGACTGATTTAAAATTCTCAAAACCGTCTCGATCGGTTTCCCTGCATTTTCCGCATTCACGGTCGACAGCTGTTGTAACCAGAATCCTATCTTATCATGGACGTTCGTCGCCATTTCAGTTACTTCATTATCACCACAGCAGGATCAGTAACACAAATAGGAATAGTGAAAGCACTGCTGAAAATCTTAGACAGCTCACGATCAGTTTCGCTTTTCCGGGGTTCATCAGGTAGGCGCACTTCCTGAATTCCCATCAGCCATGTGTTATAGATGATCGTTAGGTTGAAGCGAACCATCACTGGTGATTCACTTGTGTCCCCTGTCGAAACCAAATTTGTATGAAAGCTGGAGCATTTGTCAATATCTGTCCAATCCTAAATGCATCTACCTGATGAGCCCCGAAACGGGCGACGTATTTTGTTTCGTATTGTTCTCACAGTTTCATTAATCTTCTAAGTAGCTGAGAAAAGCCGCTAACAACGATGCAGTTTACATAAAGACGCTTCGCTTCGTCCGAAATTCAGACATGCGGATACACGCCAACACCTCTCGTAAGTGAATCATTTCTAATCTCAGGCCTAGTATCCGCTCGACCTTCAGTGTGCCTCCCTGACAATCTTCCCCACTATTTATCACCACGTTTGGCACTAATTTCCTAGCCAAGATTCTGCTATCTCTCTGTCTTCAGGTCCCAGAAGTATCCCAGCACACAGATCATCTAATGCAGTTGTGCAAAGCCGGATACAATCCCGAAATCCTCATTGAGTCTGTCCACAACTTCTGCTCCTAACGGGCACAGATCCTGTTCTGCGATTTTGCCAACATAAACTGAATTCCAAGTCGTGTTCTGCAATTTTGCCAGAATAAACTGAATTCCAACCGGGCCGGATGGTTTGGTAAAACCGAAAGCATCTAGGTAAACCCGTCGGGATTCTCAGGTCTTGTGGACTCATCAGGAGGCCTCCACATTCCTCTACATTCACGGTCGACAGCTGTTGTAACCAGAATCCGATCTTATCATGGACGTCCGATGCCATTTCAAATACATCATTATCACCACAGCAGGATCAGTAACACAAATAGGAATAGTGAAAGCACTGCTGAAAATCTTAGACAGCTCACGATCAGTTTCGCTTTTCCGGGGTTCATCAGGTAGGCGCACTTCCTGAATTCCCATCAGCCATGTGTTATAGATGATCGTTAGGTTGAAGCGAACCATCACTGGTGATTCACTTGTGTCCCCTGTCGAAACCAAATTTGTATGAAAGCTGGAGCATTTGTCAATATCTGTCCAATCCTAAATGCATCTACCTGATGAGCCCCGAAACGGGCGACGTATTTTGTTTCGTATTGTTCTCACAGTTTCATTAATCTTCTAAGTAGCAGTTTACAGTTTACATAAACACGCTTCGCTTCGTCCGAAATTCAGACATGCGGATACACGCCAACACCTCTCGTAAGTGAATCATTTCTAATCTCAGGCCTAGTATCCGCTCGACCTTCAGTGTGCCTCCCTGACAATCTTCCCCACTATTTATCACCACGTTTGGCACTAATTTCCTAGCCAAGATTCTGCTATCTCTCTGTCTTCAGGTCCCAGAAGTATCCCAGCACACAGATCATCTAATGGAGTTGTGCAAAGCCGGATACAATCCCGAAATCCTCATTGAGTCTGTCCACAACTTCTGCTCCTAACGGGCACACATCCTGTTCTGCGATTTCGCCAACATAAACTGAATTCCAACTGGTCCGTGTCGTGTTTTGCCATCGACACAAAGCGAGAGTTATGTTTTTCCATCAAGATAGCCTTCAAAGATTGTTCGGTAAAAACCAAAAGCATTTAGGTTAAACCATCTGGATTCTCAGGCGTTGTGGACTCATCAAGACGCCTTATGTACCTGACATACCAGTACAGGATAGGTGCACAGGACTCCCAAAAATATGCCGGTCGGCCGACACAGGTAGAACAGTTTTGTGTCGTCTGTCGACTCAAACACACTGCTCAAATTTCAGTGGTTCTCGTGGTCAATCAAACCTTGCTAGAGACGCATCTTCAATTTTAGCCACATCGACTTTGAATATGTTTTCATACAGCCCACTGAAAGTTCATCGTATATTTAGATGAGGTTCTTGGGAAGGCCGAAGGGAGAGCTACAATTCATTCGTATAACCACAGCCCGATTGAGGTTAGGTGAAACTAATGGAGCATAACTTGAGCCACGTGCGGTTGGTTCGCTGCAAGAGCTGGCAAAGATCAAGAACGGTGCTGTTCCCAATACTAAGCGGTCTCTACGGCGGATTCCGGGATGAGCAGTATACCACAACCAGGATTTCAATACGATTTCTGCTTGACTCTACGACTTGCTCAGGCAACATCGGGAATCGTAGTGAATCAGAGAGGCATATGAGGCTTTCGTTGGTGTTAAAGCGCGCATACTGGATCAGCATCTGACCCACAAACCACACAGCGCCGAACAGATATTCATGGTTGCAGCGGATGCTAGTGATCGCCGTATCGGCGCAGTCCTAAACCGGAGGAATTGATTAACCGAATATGACAGTGGTCAACGCTGATCAACGCTGAGCAGGAATACTCAACGATTGAGAAAGCATGTAAAGCAACTGTCCGGATCATGGATTAGTTGGGGCCACACCTGTTTGGGCAAAGATCTTATACCGAGACAGATCACAGACCCCCAGGATGGCTACGAAAATATGCCGTCTCGTTAGATGGAAATGGGGATTAAGAACTGAGAAACAAACAGGCAATTGAAAACGTCCCAGAGTCACTACGATTGGTTGGGCATGAGTGAATCGGGCATAATTTGCTAGAAATCCACCGATTCTAATGTTGTGCTGCCCGTCTTGAGACGGAGGCTAATGGTCAAATACCTCGAGATTGGAACATTCATAAAAAGAAACGGCCTAGTTCGGCAGACGGCCGTGCTTTGAGAACGAACAACTCAAGATTTGACAAATATCCACTCATTTGCAAACTAAATTCGTTTTTCGAGAGATACACCTGGAGCTCAGTTGAATCTCTCGATTGTGATAATGCCAAACAACTGGATTTGCTGAAAGAGGCTGCCGCATGGTTCAGCGTCTAAGACATTCAAGATATAGTGATCCACGTCGATCAAGGAGATGCAGCCGGCAGAACAAACAGACCGCAGCCAATGGTTTTGCTAGCTCATCGTGCTTCCACACAGCCTACCAAAGGCAAGTCCCTCCTCATGGTGATGCACCGTCAGCAGCGCTGTCTTCTGGTTGATTAGATACTTGGCCAATGCTGGTATCAATCAAAATTTTTACAGTTGCCTGATGATCAGTGTATATCCAGAGAAGTTCGAGGAAACGCGTTCAAGCAGAAGACGGATAATAGGTTTTTAAAAGCAAGGCGCATGAAAGAGTTTTAGTTTCCTGTCCTATTGTCTGCAAAAGTGCAGTTCGTCTTTTCTGATAAACTCATCCGCGGCGAAGGGCTTCCTTACATTCACTGTTTTATAAAAAACAAACTAGCTATTAAAGATATCCCGTATACATGTAGCTGTAGACAAATGAGTAGAACGTTGAGTCACCCCAAAATCAATAAGCCATATTTTCATCACCTCGGTCAGGTTCATGTCGACCTATAAACTAAAGAAATTATGTGCAATTATTCGCTGGCAATTAGATAGGCGCTGTTGGAGTGCGTGTCAACAATGTCCATGCTACTCACAAAATTGCTGAAAATTCTTCGAAAGATCACCACCGGTTTTGTCATTCTTCATTATCGGTCCCCGAGGTTCCATCCACCCCATATTCTATTTGAACGAAAAAAGGACGGATTTTGAGAACTTCGCTCGTTTGCACTTGAATTCGGTTTTGACAGGAGACTCAAATGGATCCAGTTGAACTGCTTGTTTGTGATCGTTTGCTTCAACCGAATGTGATGCACATACCTGCTCAGTCTTCCTGTTGGTATGATGTTCGAGGAAATCTATGTGCTTTTGTTAAAATTACATTACTCATAAAGTTGCTGAAAACACTTGGACAGACAACGACAGGTTTCGCCCTTCTTTGAGATCCCGTAAAATTAGAAATCATATGCCCATGAGACTAGTTGTCGAAATATTCTTGCTCAATTTAACCAGTCTACTCCACAATATGCCATAAAAAATTGCACAAGTAATAGAATTTTCGGAGTACCGTCCCTTTATCGGCGGCGAAAAAAAGGTCGTCGAATCCAAATGGCCTGACAGAATGTAGATGTGGTTTTTTTAAATTTGATCGCAGAAATAGACAACTGATATACAATGCCGGTTTTGTGATTCGCACATTGTTGACGATTCCCAAAGATGCTAAAATTGCTTCCCTCAATAGAAAATTTGCGGTACTGCGGAACTTCTACCCCGGAAATGGTCAGTCGAGGAGGCCATCAACCCGGGACAATGCAATGGGGTTTTCCGTGACCGAAGGACGGGCGTCAATACGTCCAAGCTTGGTTAGAGCTATTCACACTACCGATGCGCGGGTCGGGACTGAACACCGTCAAGTGCGGGTTTGGTTCGACACAGTCTGCATGTTCGTTAAATGCGCACCGCTGATGATTCACAGTAAGGATGAAATGGCTTTGCGGTGTTTCTCAAACATCTTTAACACTATCAATACCTGAGGCTGAATCTTTCCTGAGTATGCTTGTGGAATGCGCTAGCAATTTTAACACACAGTCCCAGGGGAGTCCGAATAGTATTGGCGTTCAACCCGAAGTTTTGGGGATTCCCTAGGTACGGTAATCATACGCTTACCTTCACGGAGGAGAAACACTCATCAACAAAATTATCTATCAATCATGTTATAGCCAAATTCCATCGGATACTCTGAATGGCGCAACTTTGATTATGCCAAATAATAGACGGATTGCGACAAGAAAACCAGAAAATGATCACAGCGAACGGGATTTAGGCGAACACTGCCTAGACAATCGACCGAGTGCCGAGTAAAGGAGTACCGTCCCTTTATCGGCGAAAAAAAGGTCGTCGAATCCAAATGGCCTGACAGAATGTAGATGTGGTTTTCTTAAATTTGATCGCAGAAATAGACAATTGATATACAATGCCGGTTTTGTGATTCGCACATTGTTGACGATTCCCAAAGATGCTAAAATTGCTTCCCTCAATAGAAAATTTGCGGTACTGCGGAACTTCTACCCCGGAAATGGTCAGTCGAGGAGGCCATCAACCCGGGACAATGCAATGGGGTTTTCCGTGACCGAAGGACGGGCGTCAATACGTCCAAGCTTGGTTAGAGCTATTCACACTACCGATGCGCGGGTCGGGACTGAACACCGTCAAGTGCGGGTTTGGTTCGACACAGTCTGCATGTTCGTGAAATGCGCACCGCTGATGATTCACAGTAAGGATGAAATGGCTTTGCGGTGTTTCTCAAACATCTTTAACACTATCAATACCAGAGGCTGAATCTTTCCTCAGTATGCTTGTGGAATGCGCAAGCAATTTTAACACACAGTCCCAGGGGAGTCTGAATAGTATTGGCGTTCAACCCGAAGTTTTGGGGATTCCCTAGGTACGGTAATCATACGCTTACCTTCACGGAGGAGAAACACTCATCAACAAAATTATCTATCAATCATGTTATAGCCAAATTCCATCGGATACTCTGAATGGCGCAACTTTGATTATGCCAAATAATAGACGGATTGCGACAAGAAAACCAGAAAATGATCACAGCGAACGGGATTTCGGCGAATACTGCCTCGACAATCGACCGACCACAGTTAATCGCATAACG